TTACCTCTATACTTTTCCATTTTTGCAAAATCTCTTCCATATATATGTGTGTGTGTGTGTGTGTGTGTGTGTGTGTGTGTTTCCTAAATTGTGGATTGCTAACAAAGAGTTAAGGGGGACTGGGATAGCTATTGGCTGTAGTGACTGATAGTCCTTTGGTTTTAGGGAAGAGCCATTACAAAAGAGTTGAGTAAAAAAAAGGAAATCCAGATAGCAACTCTCAGATGTGGATGCCTAACGTTAGTTCACCTGTTAACATAATGTATGATGTCACATGTCTTAATGCTGTGGTGACTCAGTGGTTAGAATGCAGTATTGCAAGCTAACTCTGCAGTCCACTGCCAGGAGTTCAGTTCAGCCTTCCATCCTTCCAAGGTCAATAAAATGAGGACCCAGATTGTTGGGGGCAATATGCTAACTCTGTAAACCACTTAGAGAGGGCTGTAAAGCACTATGGAGCAGTATATAAGTCTAAGTGCTAATGCTGTTAATAAAATCTGCATATCATCCTAGCCTAGAAAGATGTATTAAGAAATAAAATGAAAGAAGTAATGCCTTGGGGGAGGGTAAGAATGAAGGACAAATTGTATATTCTGGGAGTAATTCCACAAAAGAGGCTGAAAAATGGCTTACTGTATATGCTTGTATAAGGAAGCATAATACCTAATATGAATTACATGGTTATCCATGTTTAACTGTGGTTTCCTCAATTAACTTTGTTTTATGGCTTGGCCAAACACACTGAATATGTGTGGGCTGGGTTCACAGTGGACTGGGTTCACACAGCATGCTGTGCTAAAATATGATCTGACATTTTGATTCAGTGCATTCTTTGAACATAGGCATAAAACCTCAATATTTTTGGAGTTCCAAATTGTGTTGGCATTTTATATAAAAGCTTTAAATGAAGAAATGCCTTACCGAAGACGTGTTTTTTCCGAAGCAATTGTTATATGTTTGTAGCTGAAGCAATTTTAATTTGACATTTAGTACTATTACCAAGGACATTATAACTGACTCATTTCTAAAAGGCCCTGCAAATAAGACCTGTGGTTTTGATCAACGCAGTAAGGAGCTTTAATTGCAACAGCTTGTCTTCTTTGATAAATTAGGCACATCAAACATTGGAAAACGACTTGAATGCTCATTCTCTGAAAGTATACGATGAGTTTTAGAGAAAAATATTAACAGCTCTCTGAAAAAGGATTTAGCTTTGAAAAATGTTATAAAGGGGAAAAAAACAAGTGTTCTTTGAAAGGTTGCCTTAAAAACACAGAAAACAAAAAAGATGCACTTACTATCTAGTTTTCCTTCTTAATTTGTGCCAGTATATTAGAGAAGTTCTCAACTTTATCCATTCCTTAGATTCTTCATAATTCAATGCACATTTTTATCAATATTCACTTTGCCATCTATGATTTCTAGGCTACTTGGTTAGATGGTTACATGATTTAGGAGAAAAAAAGCTGTTATTTGTATATCAATACTGTGAAAGATGGGACCTTTATACATACCCATTGCTTACTTCATCTCTGAAATGCATTTTCCCATGCAGATTTTATCTGAATTCGCTTTTCTTTTTCATAAGATTGTATGGGAGCTAATATAATAAAAAGAAGTAAGATTTTTCTTTATAACCTAAGAAAGTAAAGCAAGATAAATTCTGCTTCACAGACTGCCATCGAGAAGGCATTTGTAAATGGAAGTAAAAAAAATGACACGTATATTTTCCTTCATTCGCGAAATAAACAAAGCTGTGCAATTTTCACTCTACAAAAAAGACAGAACATGTGAAAATACATACATGGCACCTATCTGCAACACTTTCAAGCAGTTATGCCTTTTCTTGGGCATCATAGACCAACAATGTAATCCCACCCAAGTGCTGGCCAGATCTTGCCTCTAGTCTAGTCAAGGTTGCCTATGTTGCCACAGGCTGTATCTATCATATGGTTTGTATTACCATTACCTCTTGGGGAGGTAATTATCTACCTTTATCCATATTGTCCATGTTCTCTGTATATTGCTAGAGCACGGTATGAAAGTAGGACAGGGAACAATAGACTGTGATTATGTCAAGGGTGAACTTGTTATCTTCTGCAAATTGTATATACTTTTTGGGTAATTATGACAAAAAAATAGTTTATAGAGTTGCAGGCTGGCACTATGATATATTTGCACATGCTCCAAAACACATCAGAAAAGTGAATCTAAGTGCTGTACTGCTGTAGGATCTATTTTCAGTAAGAACAATCTGATAGTGCCCAAAAATATATATTAAATTATATGAGAGCTGGCTAAATATAATAATGTTATTTTGAGAGTTACATCTTGGAAGGTATTGGGGAAAATACATGAGCGCAGGAGTGCAATAAGGAATACTACCATTGCCTTTGGTTCTATTGTGCAAATTGTGTAGTTGTTAAAAATCCCAGAAGCATAGAAAGGACTATCTTAAAGTATAGGATGAATGTGTTTGTTATACAATCACTCTATCAAGTTTTGATGACTGTTTCCATGAAGAAATATTCTTTGCCTAATATTTTGTTATTAATTATAATTTCAGAGTAATAAAAATCTAAGGTTGTAGATTCATTAATTCATGGTTGCATGTAGTACTTTATCACTGAAAATTAATGTAATTTCACACTATTTCAAATGCAATAGTTTCCATTAGAAATAATTCATTTATGCAGTGCATAGAATCATTAGTAATTCTATATTGCAAAATATTAAGTTGATGCGCAGTAATTTATGGATATGAGAACAGATAGTTGCATACTTGCAACCAAGTTTTGTTTTAGGTGATAAAATGAAATAGCCAGTTAGAATATTCATGTTCCTATCTTAAATGGGATGGATTTTACTAAGCACACTTTCAGAAAAGAATCAAGCTTTATGTTAACAAAAACGGGAAAAGGCCCAACTGCCTAGATCAGGGATAGTCAACCTTGGCTCTTTTATGACTCGTGGACTTCAACTCCCAGAATTCCTGAGCCAGCTAAGCTGGCTCAGGAATTCTGGGAGTTGAAGTCCACGAGTCATAAAAGAGCCAAGGTTGACTACCCCTGGCCTAGATGAATGATTGATCACAGTCATTTTTGTGATTTAAAAAAACAGAGGAGCAAAACTTCTTGGCTTTCCATCTCTTTGGGCAGATGTTCAAACTGTTTAGAGTAAAGGGCATGTTTCTCTGAATGAACCAGGTCTTTCTTTGTTGTGAAAATTCTCTGTATTCCATTGGGTTGGCCAGGGGCAGGATTTTTTTTATTTAATTAAAGTGCTGGGCATAAATTCCAGTGATCCAGTGACATGAAGGCAACTTCTTTGATCTATCCCAGGCTGTAAAACATGCTCAGTTCAAAAGCAAATAAGCTACTGAATGTTCAGCCAATTTATGTGGACTAACTTACCTCAGGCAGCTCCAAGAGACTGGAGTGTTTCTTTATGATAGAAATGAATGGAATATTATATAGCTTGGGGAACATGTTTTTAGATCTTCAACTATTTCAGCCTTTCAGAATGCTTTTTTTTAAAAAAAAACAACGTATGAATACAGGGTGTGATTGTATATACACAAGTCATAACAGAGTCACATTGATCCACATAGATACGGTAAACAGTATCTTATTTTAAGTACACACAAGATGCATTATTGGTGAAATGTTTAACCTATGTTCCTACTAAGTTATTAATGAAAAAATCATTTGTTTCAAAAGATCATGACCCACATAGGTTCCACAGGGGTCTCTAATAGTTGTTAACATTCTTAAAATTTGGAAGGACCAGAGAATCACTTACATAAAAAGGTCACTCAATGCTATTTTTCTTTAAGTTTAAAAACTCACTGTTCAGTTTCCAAAGAGCATTACTGAAAAATAAAGTAAAAAATAAAGATTTCCCCTGTCCAGTCGTGTCCAGCTCTATGGGGAAGTACTCATCTCTGTTTCTTAGCTGAGAGAGCCAGCATTGTCCAATGGTCATGTGGCCAGCATGACTGTATGCAGAGGTGCACGGAATGCAGTATCTTCCCATTGAAGTTTATCTACTCACATTTGCATGCTTTCGAATTGCTAAATGGTCAGGAACTGGGTCGAGTAAAAGGTGCTCACCCCATCGCACAGCACTTGGGTCTCAAACCCAGATTTCCAACTGACAAACTCAGCATCTTCAACCACCGCACCCCTATTGAAAAGTAGGATAAAAATAATTATGATTCAAAATATATTTAAGGGATCTTGATAGGAAATCTAGATTTGTCCTTGCAATGTGGGATCTCCTCATGTCTCTAGGGCAATTGATCACTGATAGTTGTCACAATGAATTCTGGAAAGGATCCCTGAAATTAAAAAAAACCACCTTACAGATCTTTTCAGCTGGACATTTTTTCCTGTATTATCATTACAGATAGTCCTCAACCTGCAACTATTTGTTTAGTGACTATTCAGAATTCCAGCCACAACGAAAAAGTGACTTATAACCAGTTTTTACACTTATGTACTTTGTAGCATCCCCATGGTCATGTGATCAATATTTGGGCACTTGGCAACTGGCATGTATTTATGTCAGTTGTACTGTCCCGGGATCATGTGATCACCTTTTTAATCTTCCCAGCTGGCTTCCAATAAACAAAGTCAATGTGCAAAGCTGGATTTGTTTAACGACCACATGATTCATTTAATGACTGCAGTTATTCACTTAACAACTGTGGCAAAAAGGTTGTGAAATGGAGCACAATTCACTCAACAACTGTGTTGCTTAACAGTAGAAATGTTGGGCTCAGCCATGATCTAAATCAAGACCTCTCAGCTGTCCTTGTTGTATTTGTATTTAAATGGTATTTGTGTTTATTTACTTGTTTTGTATATGTAACGTATAAACTGCTTTGAGAGAATTATTAATCTATCAAAGAATATAAAAACGTGTAATAAAAATATAGTTTAGTGGAGTGCTTCATATAAAAATGCTGTATCTGATCATATTTGTGAATCTCTCAACAGGTTGAGTGGCTGAAAAATGAAGAGGTGATAGATCCTGTTGAAGACCGAAATTTTTATATCACTATTGACCATAACCTGATCATAAAGCAAGCACGTCTCTCTGATACAGCCAATTATACTTGTGTTGCCAAAAATATTGTGGCAAAAAGGAAGAGCACCACTGCTGCTGTCATTGTCTATGGTAAGAGAGTTATCAGGTTACATCTTTTGGCTATTTATAGATTTTGGTTTTACATATAAACAAAATTAAATCTGTGCAGGCATGAGAAATGTTGATTTCTAAAGTGGGTTGAATTCTACTTTATTCTGCTCTGTATGTTTAGTTGGAGCCTAGAAACAATGTAGGCAATTTATAATGAAAGTAGAGTGTCCTTTGTTTTGTAGTTAATTAAAACATGTTGGCCTGGGGAAAAAAAACTCCACAGACTTTTGATTTTTGTTCCCCTCATTTTACTGGAATGTTAGCCCAAGCTCCATGTCCATGCTTTCAAATTTCGTTGTGTTTATCAAAAGATTAAAACCGAGACAGCTTGAATAAGGCAGCCTTACTGTTTTCAATCTGCCTGCAATTAGAACAAGGACACATATTATACTTAGCCTTTGAGATCAGCTTGGCGTTTTTCCTGTTGAATTGGAGGTAGAGTAGGAAAAAAGAGAGAGAGAGGTAGGGAAAGGAGATAAATAACTGCTGCTTGATTGCACTTATTCTTATTTTCTCTGTCCACAAAGAAGATCCAAAGTTCTCAATTTGTTGCAGTACCATTATTCCTACAATTTCCATCACTTTTCATTCAGTTTCATGATAAAGAATAGGCTTTCAAAATTTCTTTCAAAGAACAGAATTTCATCACTGGGTTCTTGCACTTACTTTGTTACAAGAAGGAGTATGAAAGAAATGTATGTCTTCCGTCTTTCAGTGATCAATTATCTTTCCAGCAGTCCGTAACTGCTGTTTTTTTAATTATCCATTTTTGAAATCCAAGCAAGCATAAAACAAATATATAAGCTTTCCCTTTTTAATAAAAAATGTTTAATTGATAGAAAGGCTTGGAAGCTATAGGCTTAATAAATTGTCAGTTCTTCATCTAAGTCATTTTCCTACCTTCCTCACTTCTCAGTCAATGGTGGATGGTCAACTTGGACAGAGTGGTCAGTATGTAATAGCCGTTGTGGAAAAGGCTCTCAGAAGCGTACAAGAACATGTACCAATCCAGCACCACTGAATGGGGGAACCTTCTGTGAAGGCCAGAATTTGCAGAAAATACCTTGTACCACATTATGTCCAGGTATGTTGTATCACTGTGATGCAATAATATCTAGAATAAGTCTTGTTTTCTTTTCTTTTCATGGTGGTAATGTGGGGGACGAAAATGTTGACTTCTTACTTTTAATTTTAAAGTAAACTCTATTATGCCATTGAAATACAGATAAGCTGAATAATTAGAACTTTTATTATGCAATGTTTGTCTCACATTGCAGTTGTATTTCTGAACACATACATAATGAGTCAAGATTTAGACCCTTGGGAACCTAGGCCTTGGATCTGTTAAAAATTCTTCATTTAAATAATAACATGATTTATGTATTAGTAAGCTTACACATAGGTAAAGATAAGATTTTTTTACTAAAAGTAAAAACATTATCTGAAGGAGTTGGATTATGTATTTATTGTAAACCAGGGGTCCCCAACTGGTGGGCCACAACCCACTACTGGGTTGTGGGCCACAACCCACTACTGGGTTGTGGGCCACAACCCACTACTGGGTTGTGGCCAGCGGGCCGCGGAACAGACTGGCCAGGGGGTACACATCTGTGTGCACGCTCACCCCCATTTGCACCATGCAGCAAAAATGGGGTGCTAGTGAGTGTCACGCGGGTGCTAGCACCGCCCCATTTGCATTGAGTGTACTTGCAGCCCCATTTGTGTTTGTGCATGCGTGTGTGCATAAAATGCTTCCCTCTCCCTTTCTCTCCAGTCTGCCAACCAAGAAAAGTTGGAGACAGGTGGCATATAAATGCAATAAATACATAAATGAATAAATACATAAAATTATGTTATAACTGTTGTAAAATAACAGAATTTTAACATTAAAAACAAAAACCGTGCACAGTCTCTTAATAATATGTTTCAGAATGTCTTTGGCTGCAATCTTATTCACTAAGATGGGCAAAATACACCCTATTCATTTTAGATGGATTAGAAAGTTATTTGAATTCATTCAAAGGACAAAAAGTTCAAATAATGCTCATGCCTCTCTAGTTCAAACCCTGATTCACTCTTTACACCAACAAAACATTTTCTCTATCACCAGCTATGTTCCTTTATCTATTTGGCAATAGTGATCTAAATAGTATTAACATGATGGTTGGAGGAAAATCTATTTTGTTCCCCCTCCTTAAATTTCTATTGCTCTTGACATCAATTAAACTTTCCCTTGAAACATTACAAATTCAAGGTTCCATGTTACTGCATGCTTCTCAACATTACAACGTTACATTAAAGTAAGTAATAAAATATAGATTTTAAAGGACAAAAGCACATAACAGTGCAAGCAACTTCAAAAATTGTATCTATGATCTGTAAGAATTGGTTGCGGATCTGTTGAATTCTGTCTGAACCTATTATTTTAATAGGGAATATTTTGGGAAATCAATTCAGTAAGGATATATTTATTTTAGGTGTCTGTATCAGATCAGAGGAGAAATATGTGACTGGATGGCATCTCCCTAGCCCAATGTCAAACCAAAACACCATGTTGGGATGTAAGGAGACTGACTGTTTAAGTTTTTATAATATACCAAATGAACAAAGAATTTAAAGCTTTTATTGCATAGAATTCTAGTGATTACCTATCTAACGTCTTCTGAGGGATGCACTTGAAGAAGGACTTTTCAGAATGCTCTTAGAGCAAGTTTAGGTAACTTTTTACATATGAGGCAGATAGAGTCAGCAAGACCATGACTCTTGGCTTTTGGAATTCTACAGAGAAGAATCTTCTTCCTCTCTTATTTTCTCTTGATGTAGGGTTTTGGGAATACAGCAGTGATCTGGGTGGAGGAAAAGCAGAAGCTATCTAACAGCTCTTCTACTCAATTATTCTATTAATCCCTGTGTCATATTTCTCTTTGCTTATAGCTACACTATTCTTCCCTCTTGTTTATCCATGAATTTCCCATGAAAGCTTGTTTCATTGTGTACTACCATGCAGAATCCTAATAGGACAAGAAGGTGGGAATGTCTGTGGAGATTCTCAATTATCCAACTCATGGTTGTCCCAAAAGTGCTTTTCCAAAAGACAACTAGACTTTTTTGTTGTTGTTTTTCTTTGAAAAAGTTTTCCTTGTTATCCAAGAATCTTCTTCAGAAGATGGAGACATTAACGTGCATTATAGGAAAAGGGTGCTGCTGAGATAGTCAGAAGTTTTCTTTTGGCCCAGATTAGACAATGGACAATAAATGAATAACTTTAAAATCAACAAACTGATAGCGTTTTTTTATTTTGTGAAACTTGATAATATTTTTGTTAGAACCTCCATCTCCATATTATTAAGGTCTGAAATAATCTCCTTTTTCAGTATGAGTTCTACATTGGACATACTGCAGTATGTTGGACTCATAACTTTCTATTTATCACTAGTATCATTTCTTTTTGACCATCATGCATGCACGTTTATTCTTGATTTTGCTAAGGGAAACATCTAGAAAGATGACACATAGTTTTGAACCTGGGAAGGAATATTGCTTCTATAGTAAAGTATGCCTATTGCTGAACAAGAATGGAGAGATATAATTCTTTATTTTAAGAAATGTTATCCCATCATCAATGTTTAATACTGATCATTAGGATCATTAGGATTGTTTAATGCAGTATTTTGATTAGAACACAATATTAAACTGCAGGCTTTATATCATGATTTCTTCATGGGAAGTAGGTAGAATTACACAAATCTTTGAATCTTTACTGACACAATAGGACATATCTAATTTGCTTACTTAAGAGTATTTCCTGATATCACAGAAGAAAACAGGTGAATCAGAATTTTCATCCCTACTCACATTTAATCAACTAAAACATTTGCATGGCAATTTATTGGTTGTTATTATCTATAGCAGTGTCTGTCAACCTCAACAATTTTAAAATGTGTGGACTTCAACTCCCAGAATTCCTCAGGCAGCCTGTTGAAGTACACCCGTTTTAACATTCCTGAGGTTGACATTCCAGAGTTTGGATTAGTAAACCTCATATGATCTACTAGTGGCACCATTTCTAATGACAGCATCAGTTCTTCGATTTACTGCATCTCTGCTGCTGCTGCATGCTGGAGGAATGCATTAAAGAGAAAACATCAAAGACGGAACATCTTTCAGTAAGGGCAACAGAACCAAAAAGAGAAATTTGGATCAGTATAGTTCTCCATTTCTGAAGAGTTTTAAACATAAGCTCTACAGCTACCTCTGGTGGGTGATTTATTGGTTTTACTGCATATTGCAAAGAGTTGGGCTAGGTCAGCGGTTCTCAACCTATGGGTCGTGACCCCATTTGGGGTCGATCGACCATTTCACGGGGGTCGCCAAGCAAGGCTGTCCACCATTTTTTTGTCTGCCATTTTTTCCCCCTTTTCCGGCGGGTGCCTTACCTCCCTTGGGCTGGGCCAGCTGGTGGTCGGCCTGCTCCGTCTCTGCCGCTTGCCATCTACGCCTCGGCCGGCGCAGGGGGGCAGAACCACACATGTGCGGCGCTCCCGGGCAGGGAAAGTCCTCGACTTACGACCGGTTGGGTAGTCCTTGACTTACGACCGGTTTAGTCCTCGACTTACGACCGGTTTAGTCCTCGACTTACGACCGGTTGGAGGTCGCGGCATTAAAAAGGTTGAGAACCACTGGGCTAGGTGATTCTTAATGGTGCTCTGCAGTTCTGTGATTGGCAGTAGGATAAAAAGGATTTCATCTTACATAGATTCTATAGTCAGATTTTATTCTAGGAGTTCAACTTTGCATTCAAATAAAGGAAGCTGCTATTTATATACAAATGATCTGACCAGAGTTAAGTTGAAATTTATCACTTTGACTAGGAAGAGGGAGAGATGAAAGGGAAAGGGAAAGGAAAGGACTTCTATTATCTATATTTTCAATAAGCAGGCTCCTTATAGAATTTCATGTAAAATCATTTTTTTAATCTGAATATTTTCTATTTTTCCCACTCCCACCTCATTTTGTCTTTATATTTTGCCTTTACATTTTTCCATTTTCTTATGACAGTGGATGGGAGGTGGACAGCATGGAGTAAATGGTCCACATGTGGAACAGAATGTACCCACTGGCGCAGGAGGGACTGCACCGCACCAGCACCCAAGAACGGCGGCAGAGACTGTGAGGGCCTTGTCTTGCAGTCCAAGAACTGCACAGATGGGCTGTGTATGCAGAGTAAGTGAAAGTACCCTAATGCTGCTTTGTTGACATTGCCATTTGGGATGGACAGACAGAGAGAAACAGTTTAGAGGTCCAGCCTTCTCTTGATATTTGAAGAAAGAAAGAATTCATGTAAGTCTATATTAGAATAAATTCAAAAGAAATTCCCCACTTTGTAGCCATAGCAGAGGAACAAACTCACCTTTAAAAGGTTTGGCATAGCTTGGCAGAAACAAGTCATCGCCTGTGTTCTTCTAATCCCTTTTTGGGTGTGTTAGGATTACAGCTTCCTGCTAAGTTTGAGTATGGAAGGAATTGACCTTCAGATGTCCCTCAAAACTCCAACATATTAATACAGTCAATCGTTCATGTTGGGTCATGACATCTAAAGCCCTCCATCTATTGATTTACTCAGCCTGGCATTTAAGCTAGGAGAGATGTTTTTATGAGTAGCAAAATATCCTCTTCATCTTGTTGTTCTTGAGTGTAGCTGGCACCTGACAAAAAAAGTCCCAAGGTATTGTGAATAGGGGTCTCTGTTGGCTTTGCATGTGTTCATTCATAAGTCCATGTTATCATTTTTCTCATTGCTCTGCTCCATATTTTAAAAACAAAGGAAAACATAAACCTTTCTGATACTGCAATCCTGTTGCAAATCTGTTCAGTAGTAAATCCAGTTTCATTGTGAGGATGAATTGTACATATTCAGCACTTTTATCCTTCACTACATATTTTATATACATTTTAGATAGTTGGGACAGGGTGATAACAAGAGCAATATCCCAAAATGTCAGAGAAGTATGAAATGTATAGTATTGTATCTATTGCACCCATTGGTTTGTGATGGAAATCAGGATAACAACTCCTTTAGATTGAAAAGATAACAAATTTCACTGAAAAAGAGCTAGTTTCTGCTTAAACATATAGGTGCATATGAATTTTTTAAGTCACAATTATGTTACTAAAGTCGTTAAGTTTTTTTAATTAGTTGCGTCTTTACATAACAGTACTAGAGAATCAACAATAGTAAACATAGAATTTGAAAACATGTATACAGTTGTATTTAGTGATTCTGTGCACCTCCCTGAAAAGTACTTGAATAAAATTGTATTTATTTTACTTGTTAATGATATTTGCAGGCTACCCACTTAGAACAACTCTGAGAAACATGCAGATAAAAACCATAACAATCAATAACAATCAAAACTAAAGACAAAAGAAAATGGAGAAAAAAACAAATTTTCTGTAACTTGAAAACCATCATGCAATGAGCTCACAGCATTCCTTAGACCAGAGGTAGGCAACCTTAGACCAGACGTAGGCTCTTTTATGACTCGTGGACTTCAACTCCCAGAATTCCTGAACCAGCCATGCTGAGGGGAAAGGGAGAGGTTTCCAAGCTGAACCATGCTGGCTCAGGAATTCTGGGAGTTGAAGTCCACGAGTCATAAAAGAGCCAAGGTTGCCTACCCCTGCTTTAGACAAATGCCTGTGACAAGAGTCACTTCTGAAAGAAATCAGAATTAGGATTGTTCAGCTATCTAGGAGTATTCTGTTTCAAAAGGCAAATATTGAAGCATGCCATCTCTGAGACCCAAATATGGGATTTGAAGCATGCCATCTCTATCAGATCTTACAGGATAGGCAGAATCATGGGAGAAAGGTGATAACTTTAAATAACAAGGCTGCATACCATGGAGAACTTAATACAGTACATGAGAACCAGTATCTTGAATTACATCTAGCTCATGTACCAAAAGTTTTAGATGAACACACTTTGGCCTGGTTATAAATGTTCATGCCATCACATTTTGGATCAGCTGAAACTTCTGAGTGGTCTTCAAACACTATCCCAAGTACAGAATATTCCAGTAACTCAGATGAGAAGTGACTCATGAGAAGGGCCTCCTGATTCAAGAATGGATACAATTGGCATACAAGATGGATTTGTACAAAGGGGTTCCTGGACATAGCTGCCACTTGTTCTTCAAGCAGGAGCTGTGATCCATACAAGTTCTCTCTGGAGAAGGATGAACTTTGCCTATAAATAAGTTTTGCAATTCTATTTTAGATTGTGTATATTAATAGTTTGCACAAATGTGAAAGAACAATTATTACTTATTAAGAAACATATCATTGTTTATGTTCTATTATGGTCTTTAGCCATACAGATTATGAAAGCTTTTGAAATATTACAACAGTGAACACATTTCAGATCCTTCCTTTACACCTTTGCTCCTTTTTTTGTTCAAGGTATTGTAAAGGAAAACCAGTAAAGCTCATAATATTCATTTCAAAGTGTTCTTCTGATGTTGATAGCCATTTTATGTTGCATTTCACCAAAAGAATCTCTAGAAAGATTAGATGATTTTCAAAACTGTCAGACTTTGGTAATGCTAGATGGAGAAAAAAAATGTCTGTTCTGAAATTAACTACCTGATTGTATGCCTTGGAGATAATACAGCAAATTATGCATCACTTCAAAACAGCTACTCCTCGACTTACAAAAGTTCATTTAGTCCACTCAAAAGTTACAACTTGAATGGACAACAATCAATTCAAAGGTACAACGGCACTGAAAAAAGTGACTTATGACTGTTTTACACATTTATGACCATTGCAGCATCCTCATGGTCACGTGATCAAAATTCAGATGTTTGGCATCTGACTCATATTTATGACAGTTGCTGTCCTCTTTTGTGACCTTCTGACAAACAAAGTCAATGAGGAAGCCAAATTCATTTAACAACTGCGTCACTAACTTAACAACTGCAGTGATTCACTTAACAACTGCAGTGATTCACTTCCTGTGGCAGGAAAGGTCATAAAATGGGGCAAAACTCACTTAACAAATGTCTCACTTAGCAACAGAAATGTTGGGCTCAATTGTGGTTGTAAGTTGAGAACTACCTGGAGTGTGAATGACCTGTTGTGATAAATTATGAAGAAAAAATATTCTTTATTTCCAGCAGTTTGTATTTTATACTACCACTTTATATTTAGATAGGATTATACTGTTCGTGCATGTATGATGAAACAACCTTTTGCACAGATATTTAGAGTGGAAATATTATAAAGTTCCTCCAGGTATTAATATTATATACTGTACTTTTCTTTAGCAAGGTTGTATTACTAAGTTTAAAGACTTCACTACTTTTAGGAAAGTTTATGATCTATTAAGAAACCTGCGTATGTATACTTAGATTACATTTATCTATTACATTTCTATACCACCCATATCACTTAAGTGACTCTTGGTGGTTTACAACATAACAAAACATTATAAACCCATGAATAAAAGCATAAATTAAAACAAAATCAAGAAAAAAGTTACAAGTTAAAATAAAAAAATCAGAGTTAAAAAAAAATCACAGGACTACAAAGTTAACAAGGCAGAGGGAGTGCCCTCAAGCCACCAGCCATCCCCAGGGTGGTATCACTCTCTTAGACCCCCGTGCTAATTAAGCTTTCTTTGCTTGAGTTAATTATGCCCAAGTATTTTACAGTTGAGAGGTGCACAGTTGTTCATTTATAATCGTCAAATATGAGCCAGCCCAGGGGTGTATACAGACTATAATAAAAAAAAGTTAAGATATCATCTCTGCATCCCACATAAAAAAACAAGTGGATCTTCTATTGCAACATTGTAGCTATCATCTTGACTTTTTAATCACTCCTTAATGAGATCTCTAAAAGTTTTGATTTGCCACCCATGATTGCTCCAGACCATCCACAAACTTTCCCCTTCCACTTTTCATATCCACCAATATATTACAGTTTTTTTGGCTCCACCAATATTTTTCAAGGCAAGTGGTTAACTAAAGAGGGGCTATTCTTTTCAGCCACAGGGTGCAATTCTGCATAGAGACAAAATAAACACTGCCTTTAATGCCTAGCATGCTGGGGCTTTTTTCCTGAATAAGAAACCAAAAAACCCCATTGAAGCAAATGAAGGGGGTCTTTTCTGCTTGCAGAATAAAGCACCAGCCTACTTAATCTCCTATGGGTTTCCCAAACAAATTTCGCTAAATATTGTACATTAAAAGTAATATGTAATTTGCTACACTGCATGCAATATTATTAGATTAATCAAAGTCAAACTTAAGCTAGGTTATAATCTTGTGCTAAGCAATGGTTTGTTTAATGCCTTAATGCTCACATGTAACAAAAAGCCATACATATCACCATGACTAGCTGATTGTGAATTTATCTATTTATTATTCCACCTAGTAATTATACTACGGGATACTAAATATGCTACAATTTCTTACAAACAACAATTTTTCACTGGTGGCAATAGCCTTTTAATATCAGTGGTCCATTGATATGATGAAGAACGAAGAATGTAAGTGAAACAGGCCTCTGGTACCTTTGTCCCTCTTTCCCTTCAAGAGTCTTTCTTACAAGCACAGTAGTTGGCCATAATGTGATTGTGGCTATTTTTTCCAGTTTTTAAGTTGGGCAAAGCAGCAATGGCATGCAGTTGTTAAACTCTCTGCAAGAATGAAAATTATAACCTTTCGTATAATTTATATGAGCAGAACTAGGAATTCAGATTTGTTTGGCAGATCATAAATAGCCAAATGAAACAGATAACATCCAACTCCTATCAAGCTTTTAATCAAATCAAGAGAAAGAATTAGTGCTGCTTTGTTCCTCTAGCTCAGGGGTAGGCAACCTTGGCTCTTTTATGACTCGTGGACTTCAACTCCCAGAATTCCTGAGCCAGCCATGCTGGCTCAGGAATTCTGGGAGTTGAAGTCCACGAGTCATAAAAGAGCCAAGGTTGCCTACCCCTGCTCTAGCTTCATCAAATATCTTTCCTATACCTGCAGTTATTGTTCTATCCTTGACTCTCTTGACTAATTCAAACAGACTCCTAAACTGTTCATTTAGGTATGAACCATCTTGTTGCAAAGTTTTAAGTCTTCATCCTGGATTGCCCATCTGAATTAGAGAATAATGCAGTCATTTAGGTTAGCTCTTCTGCTCAATTTAGAAACCCATATTAATGC